CTAGTGACCTTAACACTTAGGAAAACTTTAAATTCCTTGGTAAAAACTTACTCACTACGAAGGATGGTTCGGGTCTTAGTTCAAATATTTTTTGGGGTGTTACAAAAGAGATGAACGACTACTTGAATAAAATGTTAATAAAGAAAAACTGATCTTTTCTATTGCTTTTAGAAAACAACGATACAAGTCTTTTAAATAGAACTTGGAAAGAAAGAAAAGTAGAGAAAAAATAGGGCACTAGTTTAGCACTAACTCATGACCTCCTAACCGACTAACATCAACTAATTAGGACTCCTAGAGCTAGTTAACTAGAAACATAAAGACTTCTAAAAGTACTGTTCCTAACAGCACTAAATTTTGATTCAGTCAACTAAAATATAAAACTTACTATTAATTCTAGTTAATAAGATGTTAGACATGTACCTGTAATATATCACTACTAAAAATTGCATCAATACTGACCTAGAAAAACAGAGGGACTAGGTCAGTCACATAAATCGAGAGGAAGCCCACTCTATCCAAAGGTGAATCTAGGATTTGGAGGTCGTGGATGCCACATCGCCCAAGTAAGATAACGGGTCGGTTCCTTTAATTTTGGGTTACAATTTGGATTATTTATCTTTTTTTTTTATATAAAACAAATTGATTAAACGTGCATGTTAGTAATATTTTCTTTTAGTTATTCTAAGATTAGACATAACTAAACAATTCAATTTTTTTTTTGGATTTAGAGCCTTATTCTCTAAAACTTTGAGGAGAAAAAGATTTTCCATGATAAAAATTTGAATTTGTATAAACCATCTAATAGTGTTAACTTAATATATTCATATTTCATTGTCTTTATGTGTTGTTGCATATATATACTAGAGAAAGAATCAAAATTGGTTTTAACCCAACCATCTTACTTATCAAGAACGGGAAGATCGGAAGAACCTTAAAATTAAATGCACTCTAACATAATAATATTCATCATCTTTTTAAAACTTATGTTTTTAAAAAATATATATTTTAAATATATTCATAGTAATATTTATGTGACTTTCATAATACAATACTCATTAATTAATAAAGAATACACACATAATACTCATATAAAGAGATCAATAATTAGTGAAAAAGAAAATAAAAAAAAATTAAGAACTAACTACAAAAAAAGGAGTCAATTTGAATGAATAAAGAATAGTAGCAAATAAATAAGAACCAATGGAAGAAAAAAAAAAACAAGAAAAAAAAGGGGAAAAAAAAAGTAAAGAAAGAGCTGAGAAGCCTTCAGTTCATGCAAGAGCAATCCAAAAAATTAATGTTGACAGTCAGAATCGAACCCGCATTGCGGGTATGGAAATCTAATGATTCTTTTGACAATGGTGCCTATCGCCATTTTGTTCAATGGGTGACAAATTTAATTTATAATGATTCTTAAACAGATAACACATATATACACGAAGTTTTAACCGAGATAATTGAGTGTCGTGGCACCCCACACATACGCATAAATTCGCCCCTGACCCTATCCATCGATTGCACTATTTCCCTTTTAAGATTATGTTCATACAAGACCAACATTGTTCTCAGTTAGTCCCTCAATTTTTTTCATGCATTTTTGCGCGGATTGCATATGGTGAGTTGTCTGGTATCTGTGATGCCATACTTATTCTAACCTTTACTCTTTTTTTACTTTTTATCTTTCAAACAATGTATCAGTTGTTGAAACAAGATGAGAGAGAGTTGCTCGGATGGTAAGCACCCCTCACTTTCAACTCGAAGGTTGCGAGTTCGAGTCACCAAGGAAGCAAAAGGGGTGGGAGCTCCTAGGGGAGGGAAAAAAAAGTTGTTGAAACAGTTAATGCATCATACTCATAATCACTCTTGTACATACAACATCAAATATTGGGGATAAGGTACAAGTACCTCCTAGACTATGATCGAAATCCTAGAGACAGATCTTAACAAAACTAAGGTCCTATTACCTCTCCCCCCCTCCCCCCTCCCGAACCCATTTTTTTTGTAATTTTTGTACACTTTTTTGGCTTACTTGACATTCAAACATCTCCCACGGCGCCTCAACTATGTGGAGTCACGGAGTGTGCCACGTAAGCCAAAAGATATATAAAATTACAAAGCAAAAAATGAGTTCGAAGGTAATAAGACCTTAGTTTAGTCAAGGTATGTCTCTGAAACTTAAGTCATAGTCTAGGGGTACTTGTGTCTTATCCCTATTAATTAAGTTTCATTTAATTTGTAAGGTCTGGAGGTCACGTTTGTCCAAGGAAATTTCATTAAATAAGTGGAGGTTATTGTTGTTTTGGCTCCTATAGGACAGTGTTAGCATTATTTCCTTGTTATTTTCTATATCATCCTCACTTCTCCTTCTTCTTTATACGAGAATTTATAGCATTTGAGCCGAGGATCTTTCAAAAATAGTCTCTTATCTCTACGAGATAGTGACAAGGTATGCGTACATTCTACCCTCGTCAGACCTCACTTGTGGATTTGATTGGATCTGTTTTGTTGTTGTTGTTTCCTTATCGAGAAATGTTTTTCAAGACCAGCCCCTATAAGGGAAATTTATGAATTTAACCACTTAATGGACTGATCCAAATGCAATTGAATTTCATTTAAGTTATATAATTTTGAATTAAATATTAATTTAATTTTATTAGCAAATAATTTGACTTGATCAACATATATCATGAATTCAAGATGTAATCCAAAATTTGATATGAATTTTATTCGATAAAATTTCAATGTTTACGATGAGCATGAAAAATAATCATTCCAATTGTTGAGAAGAAGAAGAATATGGAGTACATTATGTTTACAAAGTAGAGATGACCTTCTAGTCAACGAATTTAGCATTTTTTTTCTAACATACAGTAATTTATCAAACAAAAATTAGTATATGAGAAATGGGGTAAAATCTTTAAAACATCAATTTTTATATTATCATAAATACTAGATTGAAAAAAGTGTTAAAAAAAATTCAAATATGTAATATCGTAAACCACAAAAAAAATTAATATTGTAAATCTAAAAAATTTAGTTTTATGAACCGAATTCAAGAAGAAGTTAGTCTAAAATTATTTCTAATAATTATTTACAGTAAGTAAATCATATCATCTGAATTTAAAACCAAGCCACGATTCCCTCTGTGTCGATTTATGCGATACATTTCACTTTTTGAGATTCAAACAATTTAGGTTTGACCTAGAATTTGCTCATTTAAATTATCTTCAAAATTATTAAAATGAAAAATATATACTATTTGGTAACTACAGAAAAGTAGAGATAAGGTACAAGTACCCCCTAGACTATGAGCGAAATCCCAGAAATATACCTTAACTAAACTAAGGAACTATTATCCTCCAAGCTCTTTTTTTTTCTTTTGTAATTTTATACACCTTTTGACTTATGTGGCACACTCCGTGTCTCCACATAGTTTAGGCGTGTGCGTGATGTTTGAATATCACGTAAGCCAAAAAAAGTGTATAAAGTTACCCATAAAATGGGTTTTGGGGGTAATAAGGCTTTATTTGGTTAATATGTGTTTCTAAAATTTCGGTCATAGTCTAGGTGTACTTGTACCTTATCCCTAAAAATTAATATAAGGCACAATAATTGACAATTCAAAATATTTAAAAAATATATAAAAAAATTACAATTAAAAATAGACTTATTTAAATTTTAATGTCCGAAATGGATCACATAAATTTGAACCGAGAGAGCATACATTTGCTTAAGGTAAAGTCGTGAGACATGCGTTACGTTAATGTGGAACACGGATACAGTCAGAGACACACACACATGCTAATGTGGAACACGTATATACTGACAAAGAATTTAGTTACTTTCCATTCCCAAGAATTGCAACTAATTTTCATATATAATAAGTTATTATTTGTTTTATATCTATTATCTTTTTAAGCTTTGATTTTATGAATTATGCTTTTGTTGAATGTTTTTATTCAAACGGTGGAAAGTTTATGAGATTTGGAGAAAAAATGATTATTTTTTTTAAAACAAGGAGAGAATCATATAAGAAATCAAACAAATAGCTTAATGAATTAAATATAAAACTTTCAAAAGCAACAAATATTATAGGATTTCTTAGCTATAGTTTTACTAATTAAAATTTGTAGTTATATTTGCTACGCATTTGTATTTGTTTTTTTTTAAAACAGATTTTGGAGAAAAAATACATATACTAACTAATTTGTATTATAATGAATGCATATTAGGAGGAGAGCGAAATTAAAGAGGGAGGAAAGAGGAACATGTTAGACTCATAGTATGACGAATACAAAAACTAGTATATTGGAAACGGGGTAAAATCTTTAAAATATAATTTTTTATATTAATAACAACTAGGTTGAAAGAAATGTTACAAGAAAAATTAAAATAAGTAACCAATTGTAATATCGTAAATTACGAAAAATAAATTAACAACCAACTTGTAGAAGAATTTCTCTAACATTATTAACAGTAAGTAAACCATAACATATGAATTTAAAGTCAAGCCATGATTGAAGGATAATAGTACGATATATTTTACCTTGTCAAGCCATGATTGAAGGAAGATAGTACAATATATAAAGTTACTCAAGGTAATTAAAGTGGTGACACAAGTATCACGCTAATGTGGAACAAACGTACACACTGACAAAGAATTTAGTTACTACCGTTTCAAAATGAATTATCTAGTTTAATTTTGGAACGAAATTTAAGAAAAAAAAAACTTTTTAATCTTGTAGTTTTAAATTAAAGTTATGTCAAATGTACCAAAATGTCCTTTAATCTTGTAGCCTTAAACATGTCACAGGAAAAATTGAAGTTAAAGTGTTGCCAAAAAAAGAAAGGAGACATTCTTTTTGAAACAGACTAAAAAGAAAACGAGATTATTCTTTTTTAAACAGAAAGAGTATTACCTGAAATATGTATCAGTTTTCTACAATAAATAGCAGTGGTAGAAAATCTACTTTCCATTCAAAAACCATTCAACAGTCATGGAATTTTTCCTCTTTTCTCAAATGCCTTCATTTTTTCATCTTGCCTCTGCACTTGTGTTCATCCTAATAGTATCCCACTCTTGTCATGCTCAACAGGACTATTTGGATGCACACAACACAGCTCGTGCTAGTGTGGGAGTCGAACCATTAACATGGGATGACCAGGTGGCAGCCTACGCCCAACAATATGCTTCCCAATTGGCTACTGATTGCAACCTCGTTCATTCTCATGGCCAATATGGTGAGAACCTTGCTGCCGGTAGTGGTGACTTCATGACGGCCACGAAAGCTGTGGAGATGTGGGTCGATGAGAAACAATACTATCACCATGACTCCAATACATGTGATGAAGGACAAGTGTGCGGACATTATACTCAGGTGGTTTGGCGTAATTCTGTTCGTCTTGGATGTGCTAGGGTTCAATGTAATAATGGAGGATACGTAGTATCTTGTAACTATGATCCTCCAGGTAATTTTATAGGCCAAACTCCATACTGAAAAGCGACTTATTACTTAATGATTACATATATATTTGTGCTCCTATGTGAGGTACGTACGTAGTTCCATATTAAAAGTAAAAGAATAATGTACAAGTTGTAACAAGTATGAAGCTGCTTCTATATATATATATATATATATATATATATATATATATATATATATGATCTGATTATTATGAATTACTACTCTTAAGAATTATTATGAAAATCTTAATAACATGCATTTTCAAACAATAGGAAAGCAACATATATATTATAGCACGTATGCACTGTTAATACATATACTAGTTTCTGAGCATGCACTTTGTCCATGTAACCTATAAACTTTACTGTTGGAGAGAAGTATGTATTTTATTAATATGTCTGAGTATTTATACATGAGAGTAAACAACAAATAAGGAAAGAATCAGCTAATAAAGTATTGTGATCTTCTCCTAATCATAATAGAAACTAAATCACTAATGAGATACTAAGATATGAAAGATCAATCAAGATATATCCTAATATCAATCAAGAGATATCACTAATATGCCCCCGCAAGATGGTAGATCGGTCTGATATACCAATCTTGGACCTTAGTTCTTCAACAAGCCTTGTTGGCAGAGATTTCGAACAAAATGATGGTCAATCTCGATGTGCTTCATTCTGGAATGAAAAACTGGTTTAGGACACACATAGGTAGCACCAAGATTGTCACAATAGATTACTGGTGGTTCCTTGAGAACAACAGATAACTCCTGAAGCAAATTACGGACCCAACAAATTTCAGCTGATGCTGAAGCAATAGCCCGATATTCAGCTTCTGTGGACGAGCGAGAAACAACTCTTTGCTTCTTAGAACTCCATGAAATTGGATTGGATCCTAAGAACACAATGTATGCTGTAGTAGAGGAGCGATCTTCACGATTACCTGCCCAGTCCGAGTCAGAGAAGGCATGCAGATTTTGTGACTTGCCTTTGCGAAGAAACATACCATTAGCAGATGTGCTAGCAAGGTAGCAAAGAACTCGTTTGACCATAGCCCAATGTGTAGTCGTTGGAGCACTTGTAAACTGAGACAATTTGCTTATAGCAAAGGCAACATCCGGTCTGGTAAGGTGAAGATATTGTAAGCTTCCGACTATACTTTGATATTCTTTAGGATCCTCAAGTAAAGAACCATCACTACTTATGGGACAAGATCTGCTTGCCATTGGTGTGCACATGGGATTAGCTTTAACCATGTTTGCTTGATCTAAGATCTCAGAGATATACTTCTGCTGACTTAAAAAATTTCCAGAAGGTGAGCGAATAACTTGAACACCCAAGAAAAAATGCAAATCACCAAGGTCTTTAATAGAGAAGCGATTAGCAAGACACCCAATGAAATCTTCCACTGAACTTTGATGATTACCTGTGACAATTAGATCATCAACATAGACAATTGGATAGAGCATAACTCCAGATTTAGCATAAATAAATAAGCAATGATCTGACTGAGAGTGGAAAAATCCATATGAAATAAGATAGGATTTGAGTTCCTCATACCATGCTCGCAGAGCTTGTTTAAGCCTATAAATTTCTTTGTGAAGATGACAAACATGAGTAGGATATGTCTCATTCACAAAACTAGGTGGTTGAGACATATAAACCTCTTCAGTTATAGTACAATGCAAGAAAGCGTTGTTAATATCTAAGTGACGAAGTGGCCAATCAAATGAGGCAGGCAATGAGAGAATATTAGACACCGTGGTATTCTTTGCTACTGGAGAATATGTTTCACCAAAATCAACACCTGGACGCTGGAAGAAACCTTTAACAACAAGTCGAGCTTTATAGCGGCTAATACTTCCATCGGAATTGTTTTTAACATGAAAAGCCCACTTAGACCCGACAGATTTAGCTTGAGGATTGGCTGGTACAAGATACCATGTGCCTTGACCCTTAAGAGCTGATTATTCCTTATTCATAGCAGCACGCCATTTAGGATCTTTTAATGCCTCGCTAATACTCTTAGGCTCAATAGGTTTGGGTATTGAATTGAAAGAAGTCAAGGATCTGGTAGGCTTAGGTATGCTATGGGTATTTGAGGAAATGGATTTTAATGTAGAAGGTTGTGAAACAAGGGATGATTCAGCTTGAGGAGATAAAGTAGCACTGAGACAAAGTCTCTGAGTTGGCTTACTAATATTGTTTTTAGAACGGGTAACCATGGGATCATTTGGTATATCGGCAGAAGAAAGAATGGAGGAAGTGGAAAGGGTTGGTATTGATGATGAGGATGAGGAAGCAGAAGTAGAAGAAGAGGTGGCAGAAGACATACCTGGGAAAAATGTGATGGAGTTATCAGGCTCGTCTGATGAAGAGTGATTGCTGGTGGCAGCCTTAGGAGAGGTACTTCCTGAATACGATGTTGTGGATATAGCATGAGAAGAGTTACCAGAATGGCTTGATGTAAATGGAATCATATGATGAGAGGGAACCCATATATCAACAGTGTTAGACTCAGGGCGATTGACCTTAATTTCCATAAATGAGTACGAAAAGTGGTGCTCCACAAAGTTCACGTGCCTGGAGACATATAATCTAGACTTCATAGGATCAAAACAAAGGTAAGCACTTTGATTTTGTGAGTATCCAAGAAACAAACATGGGCTGGAGCGAGGTTGCAATTTGTTTTGGTTATAAGGCCTCAACCATGGGTAACACAAACAACCAAAGACCCGAAGCTTGGCATAGTTTGGTAGTTTTCCATATAGTCTAAAATAGGGAAACTGATCCTCTAAAATTCTAGTAGGTAACCAATTAATCAAGCAGGCTGCGGTAGCAAAGGTATAGGACCAAAATTTAAGAGGGAGATTCGCATTGTGTAATAGGGTGATACCTGTCTCAACAATATGGCGATGACGACGTTCAGCGGGTGCATTATGTTCAGGAGTATGTGGAGGAGTGAGGAGGTGAGATACTCCATTGTCTTCAAAGAAGGACCTAAGATGGATAAACTCACCACCATTGTCAGAATAAAAGGAGATTATGGGCTTTTGAAATAGCTTTTCTACAACTTTCTTAAATTTGGGAAATATAATGGATACATCAGATTTTCGTTTTATGGGAAAGAACTAGATGTATTTTGTATAATGATCAACAAATATTAAATAATATTGAAAACCATCTACTGAAATTTCTAGTGACGGACCCCAAACATCCGAATAAATGTATTCCAAAGGAGCATTGCTCTTTATTGTAGAGTTGTAGAAAGGAAGCTTATGCATTTTACTGCATTTACAGGAACTACAAAAGAAGGTTTTTTCTAAAGAGGATGAAATAGCTAAAAGCTTGAAAACTTGACGAAGAGTGGGAGAGGACGGATGACCGAGACGTCGATGCCAATTGGAAGCACTTGTAGTGGTGGTAGTAGTGAGGGCTTGCGGACAAGTCAGTGAAGAGGTGAAGGCCATGGATAAACACCATTTTCAGGTTTCCTGCTAGTAGAGGCGCCCCCGTACAAAGGTCGTTCACAACAAAAGAATTAGGTGAGAATGTGACAAAGACAAAATTATCATTACAATGTTGATAAACAGAAACAAGGTTCTTTTTCATCTTAGGCACGCATAAAACATTGGACAAAGTTAAAGGACGAGAAGATGATGGTAAAGAAGCGGATCCTGTATAGGTGATTTTGAGTTCGTTACCATCACCAAGCATAATGTCTTCACTGCCATCATAATCAGAGTGAAGGAACAAATTTTGGATATCCTGCGTGACGTGATGAAATGCACCAGAATCAACAAGACAATTTCCATCATTGCTGGTGTTGTGTGTTGCGTACTTAACACGTTGTTGTTGTGTTTGAGACTGATCATTGTTTCTTGTATGCCCATCTGATCCAGTACCATTGATTAGAGAAAGAATTGCCAATAATTTTCGGCACTGCTTCACGTGATGAACAGGCTTATCACAAAGCTGACAAGTAACACGAGGACGATTCCTGTGGTTGTTTTGACCAGCCAGTTGAGCACCAAAATTGTTAGCAGCAGGTCTATCTATATGATTCGAGTTGTTTGCTGGACGCGAGCATGATTGGGTCGAGACCGGTTGTTGTGATATGATGGTTTGGCAGCAAAATTTGTTGTAATTGGAACTGTGGTAGAAGAAGATGAGCGAATGAGATTCTGCTCAAAATCAAGAAGCTTCTCATGAAGCTTTTCAAATGTCACTGGAGTTTCTCGGGCACGTAGAGCTGCAGTGATAGTGTCATATTCGGCTGGAAGTCCATGAAGAGCATGAAGGAAGAGCTCATCCATTGAGATTTGAACCCCCAACAGAGGCTAAAGTGCTGCAGATTTATTTTATATTTTGTAGATATGAAGTAACAGAAAGGTTACCCTTTTTCATGTTGCTTAGAGACTCTCTAAGACTCATTATACGAGCGCGTGATGGCTTCACATAAGTTGCTGCTAGATTTTGCCAGAGGGAACATGAAGATTTGGCATCAATGACAAAAGGAACAATATCAGAAGATAGAGAGGCAACAATGGCACTTCGGATGAGATGGTCTTGTCGTTGATGAAAAGGTGTGGCTATTGGACTTGGTGGCTGTTCAATAAAGTGAAGGAAATTGTATGCAATGAGGATGGTTTCCCACTGATATTTCCATGACTGATAGTTTGTACTGTTGAACTTTAAAGGTGCCTGAGCGACAACATTGATATTAATCAACTGCTCATTGTTATTCATGGTGAGAATTGTTGGAGAATTTGGTACAGATACAGGAGAAGGTGTGGCTGAGATGTTCTCAACGGAGGAATTGGTTGAGACCATTGTTAATGGTAGCAGGAAAACACAAATTTTTAGGGGAAAAAATAAATATGCGCTGAAGCTTTTAGGCTCCTGATACCATATAAACTTTACTGCTGGAAAGAAGTATGTATTTTATTAATATGTCGAGTATTTAAACATGAGAGTAAACAACAAATAAGGAAAGAATCAACTAATAAAGTATTGTGATCTTCTCCTAATCTTAATAGAAACTAAATCACTAATGAGATACTAAGATATGAAAGATCAATCAAGAAATATCTTAATATCAATCAAGAGATATCACTAATATAACCCCTATGAGTATATTAGTTTTTTTAAAAATAAATATTAT